CTCTCGCCGCCTTCCCTTCCCTCCGCTCTCCCCGCGCCCTCGGATGGGGACGGCGGGCGGCGTGCCGGGGGGAGGAGGCCGGTGCGCTCCGGCCGGGACGCGGACGCCCAGCCTGGACCCCGTGTTTATCGCGGGGCTGCTGGGTGCGTGCTCCGCGCCGCTCACCTGCTGCGGCTCGGCTCCTCGCGGTGGGCGAGGGGGAGCACATCAGCCGCACTTAAGAACCTGTTGGGGAGATGAGTTCATGGGGTCAGAAAGAAGGGAACATCCTTTGGGCAAGGGAGAAAATCTTTTGCATTAGGGAATCCCGGGGAATGATCATGGCCAGAGAAAGTGGGGGACCTCGGGGGCCGCGAGAAAGTTGGGGAGGTCCATTCCAGTCTTGGAGACAATCCACGGGGTCTGCCGCTTTAGGAATGTGGTGAGGTCGCAAATCGGATGTCACCCCCAACTCCATCCCGTATTCTCGTGGAACGTACCCCTCCCTAAGTTCTTTGGCCTTTGTACTCTCGTCCCCAGGCCACCCTTTGGGTCCCCGGCACTGCCACCGGCAGCGCCAGCTGGAGCAGGAGGTCCGCCCGAGAGCCGCCGAGGCAGCGGTTTCACGCGGAGCCTGTCCCCCAGCGGCGCTTGAGGTGGCTGGATGTGGGCTTGAGCTATTCCTGGCGCAGACGCCCACCAGCACCGAGGCTCCCTACACCTTAGATGTATGGTTGCTAGGCTGGCGGTACGGTCCGTCGCCGTGTCCCTAGAGATTTCCTCTTCCCCCCATCTTCTTACTGGCTGAAGATAGGGAAGCAGGCCGTGTTTGATAGAAAACTGCAGAATAAACAAGAAAGAACTGGAAAAAAGAGTGAGCAAGCTGCTTTCTTTCTGAGTAATTCGCATCCTAGGGGAACTCACTGCACCAGCCCTCTTGGAGAGGGGGACCCTAGAGGAATAGTGCCAGGTGGAAACAGATCTCAGTCCCTGCTGCGCCTGCTGCGCCTGCTGCGCACACCTTCTCTGGTGAAGTTGACCCGAGGACCCCTCCAACTTCCACAGTGCCCAGCAACTTGTAGCAGCCTGGTTGGCTGCTGAGGACAGGAGGGAGGTCAGGGTGAAGGCTGACCGTGAAAACACAAGGGGACACGGAAGCTCTGTCTCCTGATCATTAATTATACATTGTGCTGGGTGCTGGCGCTCGGCTGTGTTTTGTGGCAGCACGTTTGTGTTTTGGAAAATGCTGGTGTGTTGGAATAAGGGAGAAACATGAAAACCATCATTCTCTTCCTGCTCCTCTCTGTTTTCTGGGTGGCCTGCAGGTGGTGGCCAGCCAGCTTTCTCGCAGTTACCTTCTCAGTGACAGAGATTCCTCCGTATTTATCAAAGGGGAAAACCTCCCACCTTCCAGAAAAGCCAAGCGCTAACCAGCAGGCCCTGAGCTGGATCCCCTGCCTTGCCCTCCTCTGGACAACACGCTCATTCACAGAGGCGGCTTGTGCACACATTCCCTCCCCTCCACCTCCCGCCACAGCTTCGGTCCTGGGAGATTTTTTCTCCCCCTTTACTGAGATTCAGTGACTATCCGTAGGGGACGGATAGCTCATAGTTGCACACATTTAAAGCGTTCCCTAGACAGGGAATGATTTTGGTGAACTCTTTAACTGCCTCCTTTGTCTCAGGAAGGGGTCAATTTTGATCATAAAGAAAACTTTTTTTCAATAAGTCCAAATAAGTTGTGGTGTTTTTGTAATCCCAGGGTTTTCAACACAGCTTCTGAAATCTTTTTTACTCTAGAGGGTATGTAAATGCCACTGTAGTGCCTGTAATGAAATGTTTATGGGATGGTTTATATAAACAGTTTCCTAAATGATGACCCAACGTAATTTCTGTCAGTTTTCTGGAGAAAATAGGATTTTGGCAATGATCATTAGAAAAAACTGTCTGTAACTATTTGGCTATATTTTGTAGCTTCAAGACCTGCTGGGTGGACATAACTGGAACTTTCTATAAGGAAGCAATCTGAGATGAGATCTGATTGTGGTTGGTTGGGAAGATGTAAGTCCAGTGTAGAATGAGATCAGATTACTTTTGATACCATGAATCCATTTGAAAACATATCCAGAATCTCTTAATACCTGCTTCTTGATTTGCTTAGTTAAACCATGTGTAGCCAGCTCATTTTATCCAAAAATGGTAAGTTAGACCTTTTATTAGCTTTTCTTTCTATCTGCGAGGGCTATATTTTTATTGTAATCATGTTTTTTTGTCTTTTATTCTTTTGCTCTCCAGATATTTGGTAGTTTTGTCAAGACTCAGTACAGAAGAATGTATTTGTCTTGAGTTTAGAGTAATTATTTTAGTGGTAGATTTCCCAAGCAAACCTAGGCTGCCTTTCCACGGAAATCTACCAGCCCTCAGATGTGATCACACCCACCCTCATTCAACCCCAAGATGGTTTGACCAGGAGCTGGATTACAGGGGGAGGCAGCTCTTTTTTAGCATCTGAAATTCTCTGTGAAACCAGCAGGGAGCTGGGAAATCACGAGCACTTGGTCTCTGGGACTGCACCATCCTTTTTGATCAAAGGAACCCAGACTGTGGATGGGTATCGTGGGGCATCTCCTCATTAGTACATTTGGCCTCAATCTCGGATAGTGGATGACTTTAGTATTTTGAAGGGTGCCATGTGGACTTTTTTAGGAAGTAAAGAATAAAACTTATCATATTTCTCCCTGCTGTGAACTTCGGCACAATCATTCCAGTGCTGTGTTCTTTGCTGTACTTTTTCACATTATTGGTTTGTTTTTTTTTTTCTCAGTTGGATTTTGTCAGAGCTCCCTGTTCACTTGGCCATGACATTCTGAGATCCAATGCAGTCACAGGCTGTTGTGAACAGGGAGCTACTCTGGCAGCCTGGACAAGGCCATGACTTTGAGGAAGTCATTTAACCTCTCTGGTCTCTCTTTCCTTGTGTATAAAATTTGGGGATTGAAGTCTGTGAATTCTCATGTCCCTTCCTGCTCTGTGATTCGATCCAGGCGTGTGGAAGGAGTTGAGGGTCTATGGGTAAAGTTTCCAGCTCAGAATGTATTTTGTAATTCTCCAGCAATTACTTTAGGAATTCAGGCTGGGAACATTTATGTGTCTTTATTCCCATCTTCTGCTCATTTTCAGCATGTTGTCTACTTCTCTTTAAATGTCTGGGGAAACTGAGGCGACCTTCTGATGGAGCTGTGGTTTGCTGGGGGACCGGTGGGTGGTGGGCATAGACTCATTTCTGTTCTCGGCTTGAGCTATCATCCTTATGGAAGCTTGGGCTTGATCAAGGATGGTCTGCATGTAATGAATTATTGAGGTGTTGTCTCCATGGCTGTGCCTGAGAAAACAGCACATTTTCTCTGTCAGGCTCATGACTAATATAAATATCAGATCCCATTACGGCTTAGTAATTACCCAGGGTCTGGCCTGATGCATTCAATCAAAGCTGGAGCTTCAGCGCCTCGGAACTCTTGATTCCAGATTGGCCCTGATGCCTCATCTCGTCCTGTCCTGGGGACCGGCTGCACCAGATGACCTTCAGATACTCCTTTTTGATCAGATCACTTGGGGTGGCCTTGGAGAAGTTCTTAGGTAGCAGTCACGGGGGAGCTCCAGCTGACCTGCCCTTGTCCAGAGAGCTTGTGTTTCTTATTCCTGGCTCTCTTTGTGGAAACATACACTTCAGTACAGACTCTGCAATCAGACAGAGCCAATGATAGTAAAGCTCCCACTTATTAGCAGGGCATCTTTGGCTAGCAACCACGTCGACCCTTGATGTCTTCTTCATCTGTAAAAAGAGCATAATGATGCTTACTTCATAGGATCCTCAAAAGGTGTGGCAATAAGAGGTATTGAGCACAGAGCAAATGCCTGGCACTTAGCAGGCCTCTTGTAAATGGGAGGTACCATAGGTCCATAAAGTGTTGAGTTTATTGAGTTTATTTTCTCTTTGACTCATTGGACGTATGGCCCCTGAAGAGCACAGACTGTAACAAATAGAATTTTTGAGCCAAAAGGAGCCTCTAGATTTTGAAGTCTTCTGTCATGGGTCAGACAACCAGTTAGAGTCAGACTGTGATGTGGGCTCCTGGTTCTTGGCTACTGCAAGGCTGGAAGATTGGGGTGGAGCAGCCACAGAAGGCTCCATGGATGAGGGCCTGGCAGGGCGGTTAATGTTTTGTCAGTGGATGAGCATTGACAGTGTGTAGGTCCAGGAACTGTAGGGCTGGCAGAAGGGAAACACAGTGGCATTTGGTAGGTGGGTGTGGCTCTCTAGCAGTGTACCCTTGGGGAGGGACAATTTCCATTCCTGTTATCCCAAGTCTAGAGCTTAAGACTTGTCCCCCAGTGATGTAACTGTCTCCTGGCCAGGGTGCTCTCTACCTGGGCCAGCTTTTCCTCGACAGCCCCCCAGAACAGTGTTTCCCAAAGTGTGTTCTGTGGAACACTTGCCTTGAAGTTACCTATGAAAAAAGTTGGCAGTTATGGCATAGCTGAGCTCCCCTCAGAGGGGGCTCACAGGCGTAGAGAAGTCCTGCTGGTAAAGACATTGGTTAAACTGCCCTTGAATGTGCTCACTTGGAGCAGCCTTGCTCAGGTGTCAAGTCTGCTGTGCAGAGTCAGCCTGTGACCTTGGACAGGACTGCACTGCTTTGTGCCTCAGTTTCCTCACTGCTGTCTTCTTCCCTGAATGGGGACATTCATTGAGTGCCAGGTAGCAGAGAATAAGCGCTTGCTTTGGGGCTCTCTTTCTTTCTCTCCGTCTCTCCCTCTTGCGCCCTCACCAAGGCACAAGAAGCCTGGTGCTGAAGTAGTCAGGTTGGCATTGGATTACAATGCCAGGACCCACTTCCCAAAGGGGGTAGCAGGGATGTCCCAGCTCACACTGGCAGTGGCCGTGTTAATCTGCGAATTGCAGCAGCCAACACCACCTTCCCCGGACTTCAGAGCTGTGGAGCCCCTGGAGGACTGCCTGTGTGATTCTGGCGAAAGGACTGTGTATGTGCTGTGAAGCTGGGGCCCTGTGTAGAACGCTGGGCCTTGTAGAGACATGTGGGGGAGGTCAGGCGAGGCCAAGTACCCTGCAGATCTGCTCAAATTCCACAGCCTTTCTGTGCTCAGCAGGGAGCAGACCAAGAGTGTCTCCCTTTTTAAAAATGTTGCTTGGGTGAGTGGAACCCCAGCCCTAGGCATATGGAGAAGGAAACTTGGGGGCCCACTCTCAGAAGCAGGGTGTCCTAGCATTCTTGACAGAAGACCTAAGGAACGTTCATTTGGGATGTCAGATATCCGCCTCCAGGTGTTTGAGAGAACATCTAATCCCGGGCTTCTCAAACCTTAATAAGCACAGAAGTCACCTGCAGCGCTGATAAAATGCAGATTCTGATTCAGAAGGTCCAGGGGGGGCTTGAGGTTATGCATTTCTGGTAAGAGTCAGGCTAAGCTGATGCTGTGCAGACCACACTTTGAGTAACAAGGATCTGGTCCATTCCTAGCCTCCACACAGTCCAACCCTGAAGACATGCCTATTTTTAAATATGGAAAGCCCCAGCTCTTCAACAGCAGGAAGGGATGAGAAGAGGAGGATTCATTGTGCCAGACAGCCAGGTCAAGGAAACTCAGCTCACGCCTCTCTGAGGAGCTGCAGCTCAGTCTGGCTGCTTATTGCTAGAACTGAGTGTTCGGGTGCCTGCTCCCAGGGAACCCTCGGGTGCTGCTGATTTGGGGTTGAGTTGTGGTTGGCCAGAGCAGCGTTCTGGGGTTTACAGGGTGTGGTCTGTGTGTTGCCCATCAATGTGTGGGTTCTCCCTTGTGCCAGTTGGTCACGCTGCAAGGGGTGCGGCTTCCCAAAGTCCAGGATGGCAACTCAGCCAAACCACCTTCTTGCAAAATTAAAGGCTGGTGTTGTAGCCAGAGCTGCACTGTGGTGATGCTCCAGGAAGCCAGCTGGGGACACACCCTCTGGAGTGTTTGAAGTCAGTGGGCAGCGAAACTGCCAGCCTAACTTTCCATAGGGACCCGGGTGGGCCTTTCCAAATGGAGGGTTCAACTTCAAAGGATCGGGCTCAAACCTGACCATTGAGTGAGTTGGGTGTGTAACCCTCCAGTTGCACTACTCAGGACTTTCTGAGCAGTGGAAGAGAAAGTAGCTCCTTTTCTCACCACAGCAAGATTTTTCAGAGCTCATACCATGATGGACTCTTTCCCTGAGATCACTGAGATGTGCTTTTTATGTTGTTCCATTGTCAAAGGGGAGAATTTTATCCATGAGTGCCTTCAGCAGTCCAAATGACGAAGGGCTTAGCATCATGCCCCTCACACAGCAGGTCCCCAAATAAGTCCTCTCCTTATTATTATTATTGTTGTTTTTATTGCATATTAAGTGCATACTATGTACCAGAAACCAAGATGGGTGCTGGGGAAAAATAATTAAGACCCAGTTCTGACTACTTGCTCGTTAGGACTTTTACTTAACAGGCTGAGCAGGAAAAAAACAGTTATCTTCCCATGGGGTGGAGACACCTCTGATCTCTGAGTTGCCTGCAAACTCCTTGAGGGCAGGAACTGAGTCATATGAATACAAACATGCACCTATGTTGGGAAGGCTCTTTCCCTTGTGGTTAGCTGGGGGCTGGGTGGGAGTTTAGTGGGTGCAAATATGTTTTGCTGCTTTTGTGGGTAACTTGTTAGATGCTGTGAGAAACTCTGGGTAGAAGGGATGGGTTTGGTTTGGTGACAAAATGATGTTTGAGTTATTCCTAGGTTTAAGTTACTCATGCCTCCCTGGTCCCTCTTGACCAGTTGATAACAAGAATTTAGTTCTTAATGGGCAGTTGTTTGGGAGGTGGATGAATCAGGCAGAGATGGAAGGGCAGTTTCCAAAGAATGGCTGCTTTAAGATGGGATTTGCTTTGTTGTTGGCATTATTTGGTGAGTGTCTTTGGGACATTATGTTTAATTGCCAATTTGGAAATGTAATTGGCACTCCAGGCCCAGAATGGGTATACTTAACATCGTCAAGCCGGGCCTTGGCATCATCTCCTATGAGATCTCATTACCTGTATGACTAATGATTTTTTACATGGCCCAAACTGAAATTATTTAAAGCATCTCACTTACTTTCTATTCTGTGTGCTGTTGCATTGGCCTCCCTACTGGATTTTCTTGGGGACACACATCCGGCTGACTCTGTTCATGTCAAAGCTGATTAGCGGGAAAGCCTGCGTTCCTCCCTCCTCCCCTTCCTTTCGTCTTTTCGTCCTCTTTTCCTTTCTACTTTTTTTTTTCCTTTTTGTCTTTTTTCGTGTCCGGCAACGGATCGCAACCCTCAGTGTTACGCCCGTACCGGACTGGGACCAGCAACGGGATCGCAACCCTCGGTGTTGCTCCTGCTCCTCGCTCAGCCAGTGAGCGGGAACCGGTCTGTATGTGGGATCCGAACCCTCAGCGGGAGCGCCACCACGCTCCCAAGCGGCGCACTGTAGCAGTGCGCCACCGGCCGGCCCTCCTTTCTACTTTTTTACTGTTTCGCATTCCTGAGGGTTTTCATGGAAACTTGGGGTTGTTTAATTTCAGTTCCTTGCATAATATGGAGGAATACTCCCATTTGGGGAAGAAGTAATTAAAGGAAACATAATTACATAAATATCTCCATTATCAGAGTTTACTTTTATTTGAGGAGGGGGATTTTTTAAAAGAAAAATCGGATTTTAGATTTGTGACTTGGAGTGATGTCTTTTGCAAAAAAAGTTTTTAAGTTTTTAAGGTGGGAATTCCAGTAATGTTCTTTCCAGGGTCACTTCTAACTGTATGGAACTGCTCAGACTTGATGTGTCTGCATTTCTGCACATAAGTGGAAGGCACATTATCTACAGGCTGCTGGGATGTCTGTGTGTGGATTGAAGATGATTGTTCTGTTCCATGTCTTGTTCTGGCCTCTCTTAGAGACTGGGCAATACTCTCTCTCCCAGCCTTTGGGAGTGAACTTGGTGGTGGTGGTGGTGGGGGGGGGGGGGCTTCTGCAGGTCGGGGGCTTGAAGTTTGCAGGTTAGTGGATAGCAAATAGGGGCTTGATTTTAACAAGCTCAGAAGCAATGGAATTTTAAACTCATGGGGGGGGGGTGGCTTCTGCAGGTCGGGGGCTTGAAGTTTGCAGGTTAGTGGATAGCAAATAGGGGCTTGATTTTAACAAGCTCAGAAGCAATGGAATTTTAAACTCATAGTGGTGGAAGGGAGCTTTGGGGCTCCAGGTCCTACTGCCTCCCCAGTGCTGGAAGCCCTCCTGCCCCTCGCCAGAGGGGACTAGCGTGTTCATGATCTTCTGAGGCCACCATTCTGCTGGGGACAAACTTACCTTGGGATGAGCTTGGAAAGACCTTTCTCCTTGCACTAGCCCCTCTTTGCTTCTGGCATGTCTCCAGAATGCACGGAACAAGTCTTGGTGGATGATAGATTTCAAATTTTTAATCTAGCCTAGGAAGGGCCAGAGCTGGGTGATGTTTAGAGGTCAGCAATATTGTTGAGACACAGAATGACCTTAACTTGTGTAGTTTCTGCACGGGCAACTTTCTTTTCTTCTCTGATAGCTTCTCTGGTTTTCTCCTTCTCCTGTGACAGTGAAGTTTCCCCTTGTCCCCTTTTCCAGTGTTTGGATAATGGCCCATTCTGGCCATTGATTCTTCATGTCCACCCTCTGTGGTCTGTTCAGTCTTATTGGAAGCTGTGGTGGGAGATTTTTGGCTGTCTCTGGGCCATAAAGTCGCCTCTTTATCAGTGGCATGTGCCCTGTGTTTCCAAGATTTAGCTTCTTTCATAGCGTAGTACTGGGTGTGGCCACAAGCAGATGCAATTTTGAGGCCATGCCAAGAATCCAGATGTAGGGTGTAGATTCTTTGCTAAGAAGCCTGAGTTGGATTCTGCTTTCTAGGTATTGGCTCTTTTGAGGCCAAAGGAGAGGGAACAGACAACATGCCTCTCTCTGCATTGTTGGAATACGGCTGCTCCTTAGAACTGAAGGCTGTTCCCTCCCCAGCTGCACATCTTGTCCCCTCTTTCGGACTTCTGCATACTACTGTTGTCATTCCCTCTATCTTGCTGAACAGAAAGAAACCAGGAAAGAAAAGAAAAGATACAGGAGGAGAAGGTGAGGAGGGAAGGCAGGGGGTAGAGGGAGATGTTCGCAGCAAGAAAAATAGAATTTCTCTTCTGGGAGTTGGAGATTGGATAAATGTGTAATTGGATGAATTTTGTTTCCAGTCCCTTCACCTCTGTCTTAATGCATAAATCATGTCCAATGACCTCACCTCCAAGGATCGAAGCGTTATGTAAAGACCGGTGGACAGAATGATTTCACTTTGGGAAAATTTACCTTCTCCTTAGCAAATGAGAAGTCCTGTCTAATTAAGTGCCAGCGTGGGGCCCGTGTGGCCCTACAGCCCAGATGCTAAGGGTTGCAAGGCTTCGTGGGGATCTTTGTTGTGTGCTTGTTACATGCGAACAGGAGAATTTTGCTCCTTTGTGGGAGAAATTGCTGCATTATTCTTGTTTTTCCTTTATGTGGCTTTGGAAGGTGGACCCTCTGTGGCTCTGGAAGTGAACAAAGAGGGCATCCAGTGATCTTCACATGGTGAACACAGAGATATGGGTTCCAAGGCTTGGAGGAAGGATTTGGAAGATGAAAGTGCTCATCCAAGTGCTGGGGATTTTTATGACCAACGTTAGCTGGCAACAGCTTTATGCGTTGTTTTTGCCTTTGTGCTTCTGGGAGCACTTTCCTTATAGTGCTTAGAGGAATTGTTTGAGCTGCTCATGAGTTATGGCTGTTTCTCCTGTGGATTGTGGCAGCTACGGCTGATCAGGTGATAGATTCTTGAAGAGTAGAGGAATGATGTCTCTAGCTGAACCTGCAAGAGAACTCAACAATTTGCCTCGGTCTTAAAAAAAGAAATCTGTTTCTTAAGTTAATTCATAACTCTATTTTCCCTGTAGGATTTATTTTTTAACTTGAGTGTT